TCAAATAAATAAAATAAAAAAAAAAGAATAATGAATAGAACTGAAGGTCCAGAAATAACCACATACCTCCATGGCCAATTCATTTTTGACAGTACGTATTGGCAAATAAAGACAAAGATGAATAGAACAGAATAGAAACCAACACAAATACAGTCAACTGATGATTTTGGCAAAAGAGCAAAGGCAATTAATTTAATGGAGAAAAGATAGTTTTTCAACAAATAATGCTGGAACAATAGGACACACATATGCAAAAGAAATGAATCTAGACATAAAACTTTGACTTTTCACAAAAATTAATTCAAAGTGGACCATACACCTAAATGTAAAACCTCCAACTAAAAACCTTCCATAAGAAAAAGGTGAAAATCTAAGAGATTTTGGTGATATATTTTTATATACAACACAAAAGTATCATCCATGAAACAAAAAAAATGGGCAAGTGGGACTTTATTAACATCAAAAACATCTACTCTGTGGAAGAGAGTGCTAAGCAAATGAAAAGACAACAGAATAGGAGAAAATATTTGCTAAACACATATCTGATAAAGAATTTGCCAAAAAAAGAGAATTTGCATCTAAACCATACAAAGTGTTCCTAAAACACAATAAAAAAGAGCAATCCAATTATTGTATATTAAAGTATATTCTGAGAAATAACAAAATGTAAATATTTAAAATATCACATAATATATTGTTATGACATGATGAGATTGGCAAACATTTAAAAAATATGAAAAGTGTAAATACTAGAAGATATCCAGATTTGATGTGAATTTGGGCAACTGGTTATTTCTACCAAATTTTTGTGTAAGTACTAAAAAACTTTCTAGAAGCTTCTTTGTATCACACTTCAAAATGAACATGTTCTTTATTGCTAGATAAATCATCGATGCAACTAAAGAAACTATCACTACATGATATTATAGGAATACAGTGAACAACTTTATATTCATAAATTCAACAACTTAGAAGAAAGGAATTTCTTGAAAATCACAAACTTCCGAAACTCAACCAAAATGAAATAGACAATCTGAATAGTCCTACAACCATTTTAAAAACTGGATTTTTACTTAAAAATCTCCTAAAAGAGCAAATTCAAGGCCCAGATGATTTCACTGGAGAATTCCACCAAACATTTAAAGAATTCATTCAATTTTACACAATCTTGTTCAGAAAATAGAAGAGGAGGAAACACTCCCCATCTAATTTCATGAGACATATATTACCCTGATACCAATATCAACCAAGAAGTACAAGAATAAAACTACAGACCAATATTCCTCATGAACTTAGATGCAACAATCGTCAACAAAATACTAGCAAACTGAATCCAACTATATATAGATATGGATAAGATATCTATCTATCCATAAAATACACCATGACCAAGGAGAATTTATTCCTGGTGACAAAGCTGGTTCAACATCAAAAAAAAATCAATCAATGTAATCCACTATATCCACAGGCTAAAAGTCACCGGCAATTCTACATAAAGTCAGTGTTTAATTTCAGGATTTCTCCATTGCATGTATAGGCACCAACTGGCCTTCACTGTGTTGCCCCACGGGTACTGCAGGTCAGAGAATCAGTGCTATGAAGCCACTCTGGCTGGTGCTTTTGCTGACAGTAATAAACTGTCTTTATCTCTGACCCAAAGACCTTGTGTTTTCTGTATTTGTGTACAAGTGTGTATTTGTAATTTTACCTTTCTTAAAGCTAATAATTTAGCCAGTCACAGTTTTATCTAAATGGCAGGCTAACTTGTTAGCTTGCAAGTAAGATGAGAATCTCATACCCTTCACAGTTTGTAACTTAATAGCTAATGTCCACCAAAGGGCATCTATTACAGAAGGCACTTTTGATCAGGTGGACAAAATAGTATGCTCTGTGAATGTCAGAAAGCCTCTTTCCCCATCTACCAGAGTGATCATGGCCTCAATTAGCCCCTGAGTAAAGTGGCCATGGTAGCAGAGATGGACATTATACATGGGCTCAGCAACATGGACTTCCCCTAACCAAGGCTGACTTAGATAATGCTACTACTAAGTGCCAAATCAGTTATCAAGAACAGAGATCAACCCCAAGTCCTGATATGCCAACATTATCTGGGAGAACCAATAAGCCACCTCCTGGCAGGACGATTATATTTGACCTCTTCCATCATGGAAGGGGCAGAGATTCATTCTTATTGGAACAGATACATATTCTGGATATGGATTTGTCTTTCCCATCTGCAATGCTCCTGCCAGCACCACTAGTTGTGGTCTCAAAGAATGCCTTATTCACTATAGTAGTATTCCCCATAGCACTGCCTCTGGTCAAGAAATTCATTTCACAACAAAGCAAGTGTAGCATTAAGCTCATGCCCATTGAATTAACTGGTCATACCAAGTACTTTATCACTCTGAAACAGCTGGTCTAACTGAAAAGTGGAATGGTTTACTGAAGATTCAATTATGTTGCCAACCGGAAGACAACATCCTCAGAAGGTAGATACGGTCTTTAGGAATGCGGTATATGCTCAAATGAGCATAAGTCACTGCTGCTTCCCCCATGGCTGCAAGGTCCCTGGCACTCACAGAGCATTATTGGCCCTACCAAATCAATGGGGGGATTTTTTAATATACTCTCACACCGCCAGTCCACAACATTTTAGGCCCTCAGGGGTTTTAGAAACTCAGAGACTCCTCAACCCCAAGAAGACCCGATAGGCCTCAGGGCCCACAGAAGTTTTCCCACTTAAAGCAAATGGAGTAGGAGCACTAGGGCCAAGGTGATGCTGTTCTTGATTCACATGAATGTATTTACAAATACTATTCTCAACAATAATGTTTTTATTTAGGTCTTGACTCATGTTGAAAACAGTTGTGATGGTTGCTCATGCAACGTTATGAATGTACATTCACACCGTGTACAATAGTCGTCAAAAAGAAACCATGAATAAATGCTCACACGGAGATGTTCACACAAAAGCAAATAATATCCAAACACTTTCAGCAGCTTTCAGAAGCATTCTCACGAGAAACTAAGCAGAAAAAAATAAAATGCCACCTATAAAGTGCTTAAAGAAATATTTAAGGTTATTCTCTTAAGAAACCCACACTACATCTGAATACAAACATAGGTTTAGAGAAAAGAATGGAGATATACCATGTAATCGCTAACCAAAACAAAACTGAAAAAAACTATATGAATACTAGACAAACTGATGTCACCACAAGGAATATAATCCAGGATGAAGTGCAACATTACACAATGTAAATGAGACCAATTATCCAAGAAAGCATAACAATTCTAAATGTGTATGCATCTAACAACAGAGCTTCAAAATACAGGAGGCAAATCCAATCCCTAATTGGAGACATCGACATTTTTTTCAGCGAAAAGAAAATCAGTAAGGATTTCAACATAAACAACACTACCATCCAAATAAACAGAGGGAGAGGGAGAGAGAGAAACTTAAGCAGGCTCCACACTGAGTGCAGAGCCTGATGCGGGGCTTGATCTCATGACACAGAAAATACAAGGAGCCTGGAGCACCTTGTATGTCAAAAAGTAAGGAAGTAATTTAGAAACAATGATAAGGATTTGTTAAAAGGACCCAAAAGCTAACCTGTGATAGCTCTCAATGCCCAAGCTGGAACAATCTGAGCAACATAATAACATAATAGCATTGGATAAAATGAAAAAAGTGGGGAGAAAGGAGCTGATTTGAGAAAAGGAGCAACAACACCAATGAGGCTTAAATGAATTTTGCTAAGTGAAAAAAGCCAAACTCAGGAGATACATATTTCCGAAAAGGATAAAGATGTAAAACATAAAACAGATGGAAGCGTTGGGTGAGAAAGATGGGTTGAGTAACAATGGAGGAGAAAAAAATAGATTATCTATGAGCCCGTACTCACATAAATACGTGATGGAATAAATAAATGGGGAAAATGAAAATCTTTCCTTAAGAATCCCAATAAATACAGAAGTAAAACAGAAGAATCACCATTTAGAACACCACAGTACAAGTGGTTGCAGGCAAGATCCAGCCATGAAAGTTAAAATTAGTGGCCAAAACTCTAAATAGAAACAGTATACTTGGGTAGCCTCAGAGGGTCTCCTCTCAAATTAATACACGTGGTGATTTTAAAATATGACCACAAATTCCAAATGGAGCTAATTTCCTCTGTCCCTTGAGTGTGCATTGGACTTAGCAACCCACTCTTAACTGCAGACTGGAAATGGAAAAATCCTAACTATATAGTGGAGAAACCTGTCAGATACCATCTTAACCAAGTAATAAAGGTTAGTATGATAGTTGATATCATGTGTCACCTGATACATAGGTAGGGCACACCCTCCCAAGGGATTCTTCCTAAAAATTTATAACCTCAGTCCAATAAGGAGAAAACATTAGACAAACGTAAATTCAGGGACATTCTTCACAATACTTGACTATTCTTCAACCACGTGAAGGTAATGAAAGACAAGGAAAGACGAAAAAACTCTTACAGATTGGAGCAGACAGGATGATTAAATGTACTGTGGTATCTGGATAGGATCCCGGATCAGTAAAAGGACGTTAGTGGAAATCTGAATAAACTCTGTAATTGGTTAATAGAATTGCACCCGAGTTACTTTCCTAGTTTTGATAAAAGTACCATGGCTCTGTAAAATGTTAACATTGGGGGAAGTTGGGGTAGTGTATGTGGGAGGTTGCGGGAGATGAGAGCGTGCTTTGAAGTTTGGTACACGAACAGTTTTTTTTACACATGAACGGTTTTTAGTATTAATACCGAATTGCTAGCTCGCTGCTTCTCTCATTCGAGAATAACCACACTGGTCACAGATACCACGTACATAAATGAAATTCAAGCACAGCTTTCCTTCTCTCGGCTTGTGTCTAAAAGGCGCACTGCTTTGATGCACAGGTCGAGGGGCAAGGACAGAAAGAAGCCTGGCTCCAGGCAGCAGGCTTGAGTATCTCAGCTAGTAATCTCTCAACTCAGCAAAGTCGGCAGAAACTCTCCAGCTGATTTCTCAAGAAATGGGCATGGTGTACACCGGGGAAAAACAATCTCGAGAAAGGTACTGAACAATTTACGTGCTAGATCTACGTCCTAAAGGCCTCTTCACTAAAACCCTGCTAGCTCGGTACTATTAGCTTACTTTTTACGACTAACGGGTGAAGCATCCCTTCTAAGGGTAGAGGCACTTTCCCAGCCCAAGCGGCCAGGAGCGGAGCTCCAGCTACCCGCCGCCGCCGCGCCGCGCCGCGCCGCTCCCTCCCTCTGCGCATGTGCATCCCCGCCTTCTCCTCCCGGCTCGTCCTTCCCCGGCCTCCAGCCCCTCGTGGGAAACCTTCCCCGGCTTCCGGGTCCACGCGGCGAGGAAGCTGCGGGTGAGCCCCGGGGGGTGGGGGCGTGGGCCGAGGGGGCCCTGCGCGGCTCGGGGGTCCGGCTGGGGCGGCGGTGCCGGGTGGTGGGTAGGAGCTCCGCGGACACCGGAGCGACCCCAGGCGTCAGCGGTGCCTGCGGAGTTGAAGGGACGGCGGGCGGGGGCGTCTCTAAGGGACCAGGGTCCCGTGTGGGAACGTGGGCTCGCGGGCTCGGAGGGCCCACAGGGCCCGCAGGTGTCCAGCCCCAGCGCTAAGCTGGCTGCGCCGTAGTGCGGCCGCGGGTGGGGAGTGCGCGTGCGTGACGTGTGCGCTGGGCCCACGGGGAGGGGGTGGGGCTCCGGGAAGGAGTGAGTGCGCGTGCGCGACGTGCGTGCGCGCTTGACGTTGCGACGTGTGTGCGTGCGTCGTATGCGCGCCGGGCTTACTAGGAGGGGCGCGGTTGTAGGAGAAGCAGGCAGGGCGTCAGATGTGAATGAATTGCTCTGACCGAATAGTCGACATGAGGCTCGGTCTCCTTATCTGTAAAGTGTGGATGTCAGTAATACTTGCCGCATGGCATTGTTCTGAGCACTCACATTTTGCTAGCTATTTGTTTGTTATGTATTTAATACATGCGGCTGGAGCTTGGACAAGTCTCTAGGGCCTTCATTGCTCAGTTAACTCATTTGTGCAATGGAAGAGGATAGAGGCTGGACTAGCTAGCCACCAAGGCCCTTTCCTGGCTCTAACATTCCCCAGGTCCCCAGTTATTATTTATTATGTATTCATTTGTTATTTGTTATGTATAAGCATGACAGTATCCTGAAGCCATCGAAGGCTGTGTGACGGTGGAAGGTCTGGGACAAATTTAAGAAGAGCGAGGTGAGCTGGAGCTGAGAGGGGTGGGCCCGCAGGTTACACAGGAAATGTCACGTCTTTGGAGAGTTTGTGAGGGCATGGTTGGGAATGAAAGGCTCACCAGTCATAGCGAAGGAAATTCTGTTCTCACCTGCCCAAACACCCCCTACTTCCCTCATTTTCCGTTCAGTATTTCCCATTGTTGATGGCATCTAGAAAGATGCCGAGAATGGCATCTAGAAAGATGCTGAGGTTCCCGCTCTCCTGGCTCTATAGACGCACAGGATGGTAGTGCAGGCAAGAGGTTATCTGTTTTGACCTTATTTGAAAAATGAGAAAAAGATTTTGAGTCTGAGAAGGTGACTGACCAAGATCATGCAGTTTGTTAGTTGCAGAACCATGGTTAAAAGTCAGGTCTGCAAATTCCCGAGCCACTGCCCATTTTGCACTGTTAAGTCAAAGATAGTTTCTTATTAAAAGACCTTTTGAAAGTTGTAAGAAGGTTAGAACAAACATTAAACATTTTTTTTTTTATCTTGCCTTAAACACCCCCATCTCTTTTTTTCAGAGGTTTCTTGGATTATCTGACCTCAAGGGATTCAGTGTTAACAGGAAAACAGATTAACAATGTGGCTTAAGATTTTTAATTTTTCCCTACCACATCAGTTCTGACAAATCCATAGTGTTTCCTCCTTTAGGTTACTGTTAAATGTTAAACTCATCTTCTCATGTTTTTAATTTTTCTGTGTCACAGAACCTAAATTGGTAATAAATCAATAAGAAACAAATGTTTACATTCACTCAGTGAAAAGTATCATGTCTAAGCTCAACATATATCGGAGCCACACATGGACACGTAAGTATCTTGTATGTGGAGCTGTGTAGGCAGGTAAATCCAGGAACTGCAAGGCAGGCCAAGTCTCTCCTAACTTCCTTCTTCCTTCCTTCTTCCTCAGCTCTCCCTCCTTCACTAAGAGTGGAAAATGAACAGATCCCAGGTGAGCTTTTTGTTTGTTTATTCCCACTTTGTTTTAAAATGAGTTTTCTAAAGTTTGTAAGGATTCATATTTTTACAATGAGAAAAGAAAACTATGCAAGAATTACTTGAAGGGAAATATGTCGAGAGTAGCAAATTCAAAGAGTTGGTAGAATTAGATGTAGGACTCTTAATTTTACAGAGTTGTGCAAGTTGTGAAATTTTCTCTGATCTTTCTAATCAAAACACTGAAATTGCCTGTAATCATCTGATAGACACAGCACCATGCCAAAGATGTGTGGATGCTTTTCAGAGGACGAAAAATGAGGTTTGAGTAGACAGCTCTCTCATGGTCCTGCTTAATCCAGGAATACGACTTTGAAGATCTGGCAGAATGGAGGGACCAGACATCCTCCAGATATCTCTCCATAAGTGTTTGCGTCAGCTTGTTTGTATTTCTAGCTTGAGTAGCAGACTCTTCTGGTTTTGGTCTCTGCATTTCTCATTTGCATTTCAACCTCATGAATGCATTCTTGCTCCTTCACCACCACCACTCACCTGAAGCATTTCTGGAAAAGGCCACCAAATTGTAGTCAAATCCAGTTTTTGTCTTTGTCTTACTTGACATTCCTATGGCATAGTCCTCAGTCTCTGTTGTCTCTGACACCTCCCTCCTAGCTCTCCTTTCTTAACTCTGATACATTCCGTTCCTGTTCCTCATGAAGTTGTCTTTCCCTTTTGCCCCAGACGTTGCCTCTCCTTGGGTTTATTGCTTACCCATCCTTGGCTCACTGCTTTTTTCAGTCTGTCTTTTTTCCTGACTGGTTTTGTCTTTCTTTTTTTTAAATAAAATACTTTGAATTGGTAATATATTAACATGGTTAAAAGGTTAAGTGATGTTCCCTCTAGGAATGGTGACATTTATTTCTCATCTAAATGGAGACACTTCCACTGAGAATGAAAGAGGTTCTATAAAATTATGACGGGACAACTGGCATATATTGGGACAGTCCCAGACAAACTGGAATATATGGTCATCCTACTGTAGATATCTGTCTTTCTTGTTTGTCTTCCCAGTGTTTCTTTTTTCAGTTAAAAGATATTCTTGTATGCCCCGTACTTTTATTTAGAAGGGAATCCATCATCCTTAGGGCTTTTCAAACTTAGATGCACCTTAGATGTACCTCACTGGCATCCTGTTAAAATGCAGATTTTGATTTAGTGGATCTGGTAGGGCCCTGGTTTTGCATTTCTAAAAAGCTCCCAGGTGAAGCTGACTCTGCTGCTCAGGGAACCACACTTTGAGTAGTGAGTCTCTACACGATTTTCCATTTTTTCTTTGCTTTTTTTCACTTTTTTCAGCCTGTCCCAAACATCTTTCTGTTAACAGAACATGGATTGCTTCTTTCTTTGTTATAACTGCACAGTAATTCAAGCATGGATGTTCCATTGTTTATTAAACTGGTGATTATTGCTTGTGAGCTATTTCAAACCTTTTGCCACTACAAACCATGTTCTAATGAATGACCTTGTACATATAGGTTTTTTCTCTCAGATAAATTCCCAGAAGTGCGTTGCCAGGTCAAAGGGTGAATATAATTGATACACTTGATCAGTTGGGATTATGGTATCATTTTGTGTCGCTCCCTTTGACACTGAGTGAGTGCTGTTTTGTCCACAGCTTCTTCCATAGAACATGTGGTTCAACTTTTGGAATTTTGGCAATAGATAGATAAAAAGTGGTATTTTATGAAGTTTGTATTTGCAATTTTTTAAACTATGAGTGAGGTTGAATTTCTTTTTCATGTATCTGAAAGATGTATTTATGTTTCTATGAACCCTCTGTTCATATCTTTTGCCCATTTTGCTCTTAGGTTTCTGGCTTTTTTTTTCTTCTTCTTTGGTGTCTAGCTCTTTGTATATTAGGCATACTAATGCTTGTCTGTTACATAGGTTGCAAACTATTATTTTATGGTATATAATTTGTATTTTGATCATTGACCCTGGTGTTTTCTCCCCCATGCAGGTTTCTGTTTCAGGATACCATGTTTCACTTAGTCATTTCCTTAAGCTCCCCTTGGCTGTGACAATTTCTCAGACTTTCCTTGTTTTTGATAACCTTGGCAGTTTTGAGGAGTACATTCAGGTGTTTTGTAGGATGTCCCTCAATTGGGAATTGTCTGCTGTTGTTTTCATGGTAAGACTGAGGTTATGGGCTTCTTGGAGGAAGACCACAGAGATATAATGTCATTTGGTGACATCATATCAAGGGTAAGTGTTGTCAACATGACTTATCACAGTGATGTATCACTGTTGATCGCTTAGCTGAAGTAATGTGGTCACGAGTAGCAGTAAAGCTACTCTTTGTTTCCTCTGTTTTCATACTGTACTCTTTGGAAAGAAGTGGGGAGTTACACGATACCTCCTTCCTGCTGGAGTATCTACATAAATTATCAGGAATTCTTCATAGGAGATTTTTCTGTTCTCTCCTATTTACTAATCCATTTATTTATATCAGCATGAATTCATGGATAGTTATTTTATATTTTGGTTATAGTACAATGCTACCTTGTTTTCTTTCATTGCTCAAGTTATTTGAGGTTGGTTATTAAAAGCAGCTTCTAAGGGTGCGTGAGTGGCTGAGTTGGTTGAGTGTCCGACTCTTGATTTCGGCTCAGGTCATGATCTCAGGGTCCTGGTCTCTCTGCTGAGCGTGGAGCCTGCTTGAAATTCTCTCTCTCTCCCTCTGCTCCTCTCCCTGCTCATGCTCTGTTTCCCTCTCCTTCTCTCTCAAAAATAAGAAAATGTTTAAAAAGTACCTTCTGTTGGTTCCTGTGTCTTTTGACACACCCCATTATTGTTTGAATACTTCTTCCTTCCTCCCTGTTAGTAGGTTTTCCAGGTTCATCTTACGTCTTTCCTGCTTTGGAATTAGGCTTTTTTTTTCTAAATAGCTCTGGTTCTTTTCATTGGAGCATAGTAGGAGAAACCAAGATTGGGGGACGAGGTGTGTCTGTTGCTACTGGTGTGTCATTGCTTGCAGACCCGCTCACCTAACTGAAAGAGGAAATACACGTGTATACTTTCTCATGTATATACAGGTGTCTATAAATATTTCAGTATGTAACCATCTGTATATTAAGCTAAGTATTAGTTCACACTGTTGTCTCCTGTTGTAATCATTACCGCATGGAACATTGTAACCTTCTCTCCTTGTTTGTCTGTAATCTTCACTCTAACGATGAGAATCCAGCTAACATCATCTGAATTTCATTTATTTAATAGTTCAATTCCAGAATGCACATACATGATTTCAGAGTTGTTAACCCATGGACTCTTGATTCTTCCAGTTGGGGGCCATTATGAATTAAGGTGCACATGTGCAGGTTTTTAAGCAGACATAAGTTTTCAAACACATAGGGTGTGAAATTGCTGGGTCAGTTTTGTATGTATGTATGTGTGTATAGCTTTGCAAGAAATTGCCAAACTGTTTTTTACAAAGGTGCTGTATCAATATGTGTTCCTACCAACTACAAATCAGAATCTTTGTTGTTCTGATTCTGGACCTGAAATTGGTATTGTCATAATTTTGGATTTAAGTTTTAATTTAACACATTCTAATAAATATGTCATGTTGTCTGCATTTTCCCACTAATAGGTGATGTTGAGCATCTGTTCATATATATATTTGTTATCCTTATATCTTTGGTGAAATGTTTGTTCAGATCTTTTGCCCATTTTTCAATTGGGTCATTTGTTTTCTTCTTTTGAAGCTTTAAGAGTTCTTTTGTATTTTTTGGATGCAAATTCCTTATTAGATATATATGTTGCAGATGTTTTCTTCCAGTCTGTGCCTTGTCTTTCATTTTCTTAGAAATGTCTTTAACAGAGCAGAAGATTTTATTTTTAATAATATTCAACCTATGCTTCCCCCCCCCCATGGAATATGCTTTTTCTGTTGTATCTAAAAACTCATTACCAAATCTAGGGTCACAGAGATTTTTCTCCTATATTCTTTGTTCTGTATTTTCTTCTAGAAAGTTTAAAGTTTTGCATTTTACATTTAGACCTCATATTCATTTTTAGTTATTCCTTGTGTAAGGTCTGAGTCTAGGTTGATTTCTTTGGCATGAGTGTCCAGTTGTTCAAGCACCATTTGTTGAAAGCCTCTCTTTTTCTCCTTTTATTGCCTTTATGTCTTTGTCAAAAAACATTTGACTCTATTTTGGTAGATCTATTCCTGGACCCTCTGTTCTGTTCTGTTGATCTACGTGTCTCTCTCAGCACTAACACACTGTCTTGGTTACTCGTAGCTTTATAACTACTTAAGTAACTCTTAAGATCAGAATGTGAATTCTCATTTTTCTTCCACATTGTGTTGGCTATTCTAGATCCTTTGTCTTTCTATATAAACTTCAGAATCATTTTGTAGTATCTGCAAAATAGCTGGGGGTTTTATTTGGATTGTGTTGAATTTATAGATTAAGTTGGAAAGAATTGACATCTTAGGCATATTGAGTCTTCCTATTGATGAATATGGGCTATCTCTCCATTTCTTTAGATCTTTGATTTCTTCCATCGATTGGTGTGGTGTTCTATATATACATATTGTGTTAGATTTTATACTTGAGTACCTTTTTTGGGGGTGCAATTGTAAGTGGTATTTTCAGATACAGGAAAACAGTTGACTTTTTTTATTGATCTTGTATCCTGTGATGTTTTGTTATTTCCTTATTACTTCCAGTAGATTTTTTTCTTTCTTTTTGTAAGTTACTTGAGATTTTCTACATAGACAATAATATTGACTTCAAATAAAGAGAGTTTGTTTTTCCTTTTCAGTGATACACCCAATTGTCTCATCCCCTCCTCCCACCCACCTTCCCTCTGGTAATCACCAGTTTGTTCTCTATATTTGGGAGTCTCTTTTTTTGTTTCTTTTTTGCTTTGTTTTGTTTCTTAAATTGCACATATGAGTGAAATCATATGATATTTGTCTTTGTCTGACTTATTTCACTTAGTATTATACCCTCTAGATCCATCTATGTTGTTGGCATTGTCAAGATTTCATTCTTTTCTCCGGCTGAGTAATATTCCATTACACACACACACACACCCCCCACACACACACACCCCACATCTTCTTTATCTATTTTGCCTACTGTAAATAGTGCTGCAATATAAATACCTTTTCCAATCAGTGTTTTCCTTTTCTTTGGGTAAATACCCGGTAGTGGAATGACTGGATCATAGGATAGTTCTATTTTTAATTTTTTGAGGAACTTCCACACTGTTTTCCATAATGACCGAACCAGTTTGTTGTACTGGGGGACATCAGTGTCCCCCAGTACTGATGTCCCCACCATCAGTACACAAGGGTTCCTTTTTCTTCACATTATCACCAACTCTTGTAATTTCTTGTTTTGATTCTAACCATTCTGACAGGTGTGAGGTGATACCTCATTGTGGTTTTGATTTGAGTTTCTCTGGGTTGAGCATCTCTTCATGTGTCTCTTGGTCTCTGAATGTCTTCTTTGGAAAAATGTTTATTCAGGTCCTTTGCCCAGTTTTTAATCAGCTTATTTGGGGTTTTTTTGGTGTTGAGTTATATATGTTGGATATCAAATCCTTAACGGATATATCATTTGCAAATATCTTCTCCCATTAGTAGGTTGTCTTTTTGTTTTATTGATGGTTACCTTTGCTGTGCAGAAGCTTTTTGTTTTGGTATAGTCCCAAAGTCTTATTCTGCTTTTGTTTCCCTTCTCTTCAGAGACATATCTAGAAAGAAGTTGCTATGGCTGATGTCAAATAAGTTACTACCTGTGTGCTTTTCTAGGATTTTTACGGTTTCAGGTCTCACATTTAGGTCTTTAATCCATTTTGAGTTTATTTTTGTGTATTGTGTAAGAAAGTGGTCTGGTTTCATTCTTTTGCGTGTAGCTAGCTGTCCAATTTTCCCAACACCATTTGTTGAAGAGATTGTCTTTTTCCCGTTGGATATTCTTGCCTTCTTTGTTGAAGATTAGCTGACCATATAACTGTTGGTTTATTTCTGGTCTCTCTGTTCTGTTCTACTTTTTTTTTTTTTAAAGATTTTATTTATTTATTTGACAGAGAAAGACACACAGCGAGAGAGGGAACACAAGCAGGGGGAGTGGGAGAGGGAGAAGCAGACTTCCCGCGGAGCAGGGAGCCCAATGCGGGGCTCGATCCCAGGACCCTGGGATCATGACCTGAGCCGAAGGCAGACGCCCATCGACTGAGCCACCCAGGCACCCCTGTTCTGTTCTACTTTGAATAGCCAGAGCAATATTAGGAAAGAAAAAGCTGGATTTGTTTCACAAATTGATCACAGTCCCAGATTTCCAGATACACTACAAAGCTATAGTAATCAAAACAGTATGGTACTGGCACAAAAATAGATAGATCAATGAAACAGGATACAGAGCCAATCACATATGTGTTATTTCTGGTTTTGGGTTGGTTTGGTTTGGTTTGGTTTTGGTCTTACTGCACTAGCTAGGACTTCTAGTACAGAGTTGAATAGAAGTATTGAGATAAGACATCCTCGCCCTATTCTTACCCTTAGGGGAAAAGTGTCCTGTCTCTTAACATTAAATATGGTGTTAGCTGTAAGGTTTTTGTGGATGGTCTTTATCAAGCTGAGAGAATTCCCCCTATTCCTAGTGCGCTGAGAATTTTCATCATGAATGGCTGTTAGATTTTGTCAAATGCTTTTCTTTCATCAATCGATTTGATCATGTAATTTTTCTTCTTTGGCTTATTGATGTGCTGGATTGTATTGATTTTTTTTTATTATTATTAACATTGACCTGGCCTTCCATACCTGGAATAAATTCCACTTGGTTATGGTTTATAATTCATTATATACATTGTCAGATTTGATTTGCCAATATTTGAGGATTTTTGTGTCTTTGCTAATGGGAGATATTGGTCTTTAGTTTCTCATGTCTTTATCTAGTTTTGGAATCAGGGTAATGTTGGCCCTATAATATGAGTTTGGAGGTGTTATTTACTGCAGGAGATTGTGGAGAATTAGTATTTTTTCCTTAAATGTTTAGTAGAATTCACTAGTGACACCATTTGAGCTTAGTACTTTGTATTTTGGGAGTGATTTGACTAGTAATTCAATTTTGTTTTTAACAGATATAGATCTGTTCAGGTTATCTATTTCTCCTTGTATGAATTGGTAGCTGTGTCTTTTAAGGAATTTATCCATTTCAACTAAGTTAGTTTTTCAGGAATAGAATTGTTTGTAGTATTCTCATTATTTTAATGTCCTTAGGATCAGTAGTGTTGACCTTTCATTTCTGAGATTCACAATTTGTTTCTTTTCTCTTTTTTCTTGGTTAGGTTTTCTGGAAGTTTGTTAATTTATTGTCTTTTCAAAGAAGCATCTGTTGGTGTCATTAATTTTCTTTTTTTTCATATTTTCAATTTCATTGATTTATTCTAATATTTCCTTTATTTTACTTGCTTTTGGCTTAATTTACTTTTCTTCTATAGTGTACTAAGATGGAAACTTTTCTAATATATACACTGCTATAAATTTCCCTCTATGTACTGCTTTCAGTTCATCCCACAAATTTTGATAAGTGGTATTTTTATTTTTATTTCATGTACAATGTTTAAAAATTTCTTTCGAGACCTCTTTGAACTATAGGTTATTTATAAGTGTGTTGTTTAATTTTCAAGTGTTCGAGTGATTTCCCAGCTATTTCTTGTTTATTGATTTCTATTCCATTGTAATCAGAGAACGTATTTTGTATGATAGCTGTTGTTTTAAATTTGTTAAGGTGTGTTTTGTGGCCAAGACTATGGTCTGTCATGGTGAATGTTATATATGAGCTAGAATAGAAGATAAAATGTGTGTTTTATTGTTTTGGATGGGGTATTCTGTAACTCAATTAGATCATGTTGATGGATAGTGTGGTTCAGGTCATCTTTATACTTACTGATTTTCTGCCTCCTTGATCTCTCAGTATTGACAGAGGAGTGTTGAAGCCTCCCAACTAGGATTATAAATTTGTGTATTTCTCCTTTAGTTCTATCAGTTTTGGAGGTATGTATTTTGGTACCCTTTTGTTAGATACGTACATGTTTTGATACTCTTGTTAGATTGATATATGTTTTCTCTAATAGGATTTTGAACCCATTTAATGAGTTCTTAATTCCAGTGTTGTATTTCTCAGCTCTAGAATGCCCATTTTATCTATGTATGTATGTGTATATGTATGTGTCTGTATACACATCTATCAGAGGTCCCTAAGACCATCCCCAGGCTCAGTGACTTACTAGGGTGACTCAGCAGGTGGTTCTACTTATGGGTATGACTTACTAAAGTGCAAGAATATAAAGCAGAATCAATAAGGGGAAAAAGCGCACATGGAGCATAGTTGAGAGGAAGCCAGGAGCAAACTTCTAAGAGTTTTCTCCCAAATCTAGCAATGAGATTGACAACAAACATGAAATGTCTGCCACGGAAGCTCAGTAGACACTTAGGGCTCAATGTTTTTAATCGGGAGCTGATCACATTGGTACTCTCTGCTTGGCACAGAAACGTCCAGACTTAGAAGGAATGCATGTGTGCAGTATAAACCATATTGCTTACACACACAGTTTAGGCTCAGTGAACCATTCTTATTAGGGAATTTAAGTTCCCGGGTGCCAGCCAAGGGATACCCTCATAGCAGCAGACCTTTCAAAGCAGACCAGTCTCAGCCTGCTCTAGTAATTTTTTTCTGCACAGTACACATACCATATATCCATTGAACTTCTCCCAGTTATTTTGTTCATACTTTCCTGTTTTATTGAACATATTAATCATAATCCATTTTGAAGTTCTTGTTTATTATTTCCAGTATCTGGGTCCCCTTCTGGTCTTCTTTGTCTGTTTTATTGTCTATTTTTTCTATCATATAAATGATAATATTAAAGAACTAATTTTTTCTTGGTCTGCTTTCCTTTCCAGTCTACTGTGTGCATCATGCTAGCTCTTGTGTATAACTTAATAAATGTTAATGTATATATCTCCTCATCAGATCATAAGCACTTTGAGAACAGGAATGGTGTGTGTTTGTTTTCATCAGTAGTATTTGCAGCAAGGGGAACAGTTCTAAGCCTTTAGTGGAAACTCAGTTTGTACAAGATATTTCTTTTATCCTACATAGTAAATAACACAAAAGAAGGCATCCTATGTGTCAATTTTTAGCAAACTCTAAAGAGATTAGCTCTTTTAAATTTCTTCCATGTCATATAGTTCTGATGGCTTCATATAGAAAAGGAATATACCATTACAGGAACAAGTGTCATTCAAAGATGTATGTGTGGACTTCACTCAGGAAGAGTGGTATCTGCTGGATCCTGCTCAGAAGATACTATACAGAGATGTGATTCTAGAAAATTACAGCCATTTTGTCTCAGTAGGTAAGAATTTTTTTTCCTTGTGACTACCTGTAGCATGCATTTCTAGTTGTTGAAACATATGAACTGCCTGTGGAATTTTGATTGATGCTTGAGATTCAAGGCCCTGAGATGACCAGTTTCTCTGGCCACCATAAAGAATGTTGTGTTCTTAACCTTCTCAGGGGTTGGTTCATTTGGGCATCTCCCTTGGGCAGCTCCTGAGGCTGTACCTTTCTTCCCCATCATTTTTTCAGAGTCCCTGAAGCCAGGCTATTTAGCCATCATCTTGTATTATTTTTTCTCAACAGGATATTGCATTACTAAGCCAGAAGTGGTCTTCAAGATAGAGCAAGGAGAAGAGCCCTGGATATTAGAGGCAGGATTCCCAAGCCACTGCCACCAAGGTGAGTTAGCGGGTTCACAGGCAGATGGAAGACAACGGAATGAAATCTTAGGCCTTTGGTTTAGGGTTTATCACTTGTGAAATATTCTTCAGAAATTTCTTTTTTAAACTTCAGACCTTTGGAAGTGACAAAGGACAGTTGGCTCACATCCCTCCATTACCTTAATCACATTCCTCCTCATGTCACTTTCCCCTCATAAATGCTTTCCTTTGTCCTATGATATTTTAGAGTGATTTACTAATACCTATAATGCAAACTAAGTTGGCTTCATCTTAGGTGATTTTTCTTGGTTAGGTTATCTTTTAAAATTGTTCACCTTCCCTCTATTCTCTTCAGACACCTTTTGTTATCTGGTGTGTATTCATGCTATACTTAACATATTCATTTAACAAATATGTGTTGGGTACCCACTACGATCCAGTTATGTTTTTAGGTAATTAAAAGAATAACATCCCTTTTTCATGGAGTGTGTATTACAGTGAGGGACAAGAAGTATGTGTGTGTGCGCACATGCACAAGTGTATGTGCGTGAATGTGTACATACAGTATTTGTGGTGGTAAGCACTGTGGAGAGAGTTAAAGGAGTGGGGAAGGGGTAGAGAATAATGGCCTGTGCTAATGGGTAAGGAAGTTGGAGAAAACCTGTTTGATGAGGTCCAAAGGAGGGATGAGACCCTAGTAAAGTGAAACTGTGAGCTGTTCCAGGCAGGTGCCAAACTTCTCAGCAGTGTTCTTAGAGTGTTTGAAGAATGGCAAGGAGGCCATTGTGGCTAGAGGTGAATATGTGTTGGGGAGAGTGATAGGAGGTGATGTCATAAGAAGTAGCATGGACCATGGTAATTTTATTTTGAGTGATGTGAGAAATCATTGTATTTTTTTTTTTTTGAGTAAATGTAAGTCAGATTAAGTCATCAGATCTGATTTATAGTTTATGCAGTAAATACAATCTGGTGTTTAGGTGGTGCTCAGGCACGAGCAAGGAAGGAATACCACTTAGGAGACTATTATATACTCCACAGGAGAGAGGATAATGGCTTAGGCGATGTTGGAAGTGCTGAGGAGTGGTAGGTGTGTATGTAGATCTTGAGGATGAGGCCAACAAGATTTGCTGTTGGATTGATAGTGTGGAAGAGAGCCAGGAGTCCAGTATGACTCGACTGATTTGTCTTAAGCAACTGGGTAAATCAGGGTGCCATTTCCTGAGAGGAAATTAGATGATAGGGGACTTACGACATACCTAAACTTGGACATGAGAAGCTGGAGAGAACTGCTAGGGCCCAGACTGTGTGTTGAAAAGGATGTCGGTTCTGTGCGAGTGTGGTGCACGTGGCTGAGGCCAGAGCCAGTAGTCCCCGTGTGTGAGGCGTCAGCTGTGGGTGGTGATAAAGGCACAAGGTTGGCTGAGGGCTTCCAGGTCAGAGGCTGGTGGTCTTTTATGTAAAGACAGTAGCACATATTTTAGGTCTGGTGGGTCACATGCAGTCTGGGTGTGAGTCCTCCTCCTCCTCCTCCTCCTCCTCCTCCTCTTGCCTGGTTCTCCTTTTCCCTCTCCTCCCCTCTCTCTTCTCCCTCCTCACTCCTCCCTACTGCCTCTTCTGTCTTTTCCCTCTAAAAACGGAAAAAACAGTCGTAGTTCAAGGACCTTTGCTCAGTAGTCATAGTTTGCAGACTCCTAGAAAGTGGTGGTTTGCACATGAGAGCAGTGGTCCTGGAACAATTCTTCTTCTACAAGGCCTGAAAATCTATTAAATCTCATCACGAGAGGAGCTTGAGGAGGAACAGTCTGAGCACCATGCAAACTGGGGAGCCTTGTTTCTCAGGAATCCAATAAGGAATATCCTAGCGTCCTATTACTATCTTACATGGCAGCTCCGGGTCAGTGCACTAAACCCATTATCCCCTATTGCTACTGTCCTCATACTCCTGGGTCGCTTGCCTTTTAAAACCAGCTTTCGCGTCTCTTTGTTTTCTCACGTCTCACTGATCCCACTCAAAACCAGAACTGTGTGTTCTTTCTTTCCTGGCTTGATCTAATCCCTAAATGATTTTTATTTTCTTACCTGAAGCATCCGATTTATCTTTCACTAGCCTGGGAAAGTTGCTACTTATTAAGAAATGAAATTAAAATTAAAGTCTCCTTTCATTGACTATTATAATGTGGTCCTTCTGTTCTACCTGTCTCGTTCCTTTCTCTCTGCTCTCCAGAATTTCCTCTAAACCCCATACTGTCTTGTATCGTAAATTTAGTGTATAAATGCTTTCTCTTCTATCTACAACTTTCATTTTTGTTTACTTTGCTTTTCAGATACTTAATATTGTACGTATAAAGTGTTTAAACATTGAATGGTACATAGTAATGGCTTGTTATTATCTCACTTATTTTAAATTAGAGCTCTTTTTTTCCCCTGTAATTTAAGTAACCCATATGTTATGACCTTAACCCACTAGTGGCTATATCCTCAAAACTCAGAACTAATCATATTACTCTTGCTTAGGGTTTCTTTCTTTATTGAGATTTTGTTTTCCCACAGAAAAGGCCCTTTCTTTTCCTAATTCTGATAATTTACTAATTACTTTTTTGATTAACTGTGAAGCCAAGTTTGGAAGAGATCACTCTTTTTCATCCATTCAGAAAGCATTTTGTAGTACTTTTCCAAAAAGCACATTCCCACTTTGTCCTCGTGTATTACAGTTCATCACGTACAGGTTGGAAATAATTCATATGCACGTTGCATTTATGAATTATTCATGTTCTGTCTCTTTCGTGAGGTCAGAGGAAGCAGGATTTTGGTAACACCTGCCAAGAGCTAGACTGTGGTCTTGACAACGGTGTAGCATTGAGCAAGGAACTTCATCACCAAATTATGGTGAATTTTACAGGCAGTAAACTTTTAAAGACAGTGAGTGAAGGATGAAAGTGGATGGGGTGTTGCAGTGTTTGTTGGCATTTATTCTTTTTATTATTATTTTTTTGGCTTGTTTTCAATGAAAGAAAGTAGCATATCCAGAAAGATGTCCAGGTTCCAGGAAGAGCCAGGGCTGGAATGCAGTTTGCATTGTGTTTACGGGAGTGAGTGGTTTATGAGAGGCCCATCTGGAGCTGTACAGAAATACTGTTACTTGGACGTGTGATGTGGTGGCTTGGACACTTACTATGAATCCAGTTGGCGGAAAGTTTGTTTTGTATTGATTTGTTTTTGCTGGCTAATAATTACTACTATTTGGCCCTTGGAGCAGTGGGCTCAGGACTGCCATCGAAGTTTTTTCTCACGTGATTGACAGTGTTGCATTGGGTGGCAACAGTGAAGCACAGCCAAGGATTGTTACGATAAAGTTTACCAATGGTGTCAGAACCGTATAGAGAAACATGATCCTTATGGGTCTCACCAGTAGGTAAAAACTACAGATGAGGCTAGATATAAAAGCAGAAAACCTTGATATAAAAGATAAACCTAGGTATAAAAGCAGACTTAAAGATCAACATTGCCCCGAGACATAAAATGGCTTTGGGGAGAAGTAATCCAGCAGATTGAAGTGAATCAATGTATGACTTGATAGTCAGGACAGATTCATTAGCAGCTGTGAGAAAACAAAGTAAACCTGACCTTCCGCAGAGATGGCCTGCCCCTCATCAGTTTTGTATTTCCTTTTGGATATTTGTGGTGTAGTGAATCTCAGCTAGATGGGAGAGTGAGAGTCTGAGGTAAAGCAGTGTTCCTTAAAAAAGAGGAAGTAGGCACTTTCAGAAATTTATGTTGATGCTTATAAATCAAATGGAGGGGAAAAAAGGACTGGCAACATGCATACTAGTGAGAATCCTACCATAGTAGTCAAGCTGTGAGAGCTTGCTCACCGTGTATCTTGATTTTATTTCACTTTCTCTAGCCTGCGTCTTACAGCATTTTAAAAAAAAATTATTTCTTATAAAATAAGTTAAAAGAAAAACCAGATGCTGGGCTATAGTACTTCTTGGTTGAACCCGAGGAAGTTTGGTGTTGGTGCGCAGAGTAGAATCATGTGCTCCAGCCAGAATCCTACCCCAGGAATCTGTATGCGAGGGGATTAGGATGGAACTGTTCTGTCTCCACCACACATAGTTCCTCCTCTGAAAGGCATGTCCACTAGTCTCCACATCACTTTATTTAGTGTTAAGTGTCTCTGTCCGGCTCACCCCATTCTCTGAGTTTCCCTGAAACAGCCACTCCCAGTTTTGAATTTTCACCCTTTTCCGTCCAGTTTTGAAGGTTTTATATTTAAAATGTTAAATGTCCTTGCCAGTTTCCATTCCCTGTTTCCACTGCAGCATGTATTTACTTTTCACTGAGACCAGGAGGATAAAGGAAACCTTTGCTTGGATTTAGTTCACGCCAGGAAACTGAGCCTAAAAGAAAAGAATCGGCTACATGAAAGGGCGTTTGTGTGAGTTTAGTCCCATTAGAAGTGTACTAGGATTCATATTATTTTTCTCATTTCTAGAAGACTGGAAAGTTGATGACCTGATAGAGAGCAGCCAGGACAATGAAGACGAACATTTTTGGCAACTTGCTTTCACCACCAACAAAACATTAAATGTAGATAGTGGTGATAGAGTAAGAAAAGCTTTCAGTCTGGGCACAGATTCTGTTCCTTCAAGAAATTTTCCATGTAAGATATGTGACTCGTGTGAAATGAGTTTGAAAAATATTTCAGGCTTAATTATTAGTAGAAAGAGCTATTCTGGGAAGAAGCCTGATGAGTTTAATGTATATGAGAAATTGTTCCTTGATATTAAGCATGAGAAAACACCTCCTGGAGGGAAATCTTATAAATATAATCAAAAAAGGAATGTGCTCAATCATAGCCACGACCTCAGTCAGCCAATTTTTGACCCGCCTTCTGAGTATAATGAAGACGGACAAGCCTTCCATGAGGAAGCGGCCTTTTTCACAAACAAGAAAATACAGATAGGAGAGACGCTCTGTAAATATAATGCATGTGGAAGAACCTTCATCCACAGTTTAGAACTCAGTTTATCTCAGAGAACTCATTTGGAGATGGAGCCATATGAATGCAATATTTGTGGGAAGTCCTTCTATACAGATTTAAGATTGGGACATCAGAGAACTCTTACAGGAGAGACTCCTTATGAATACAATGAATATGGGCAAACCTTCTGTGATAACTCAACTTTCATTATCCATCAGGGAACCTATACAAGAAAGATTCCCCACGAATATAAAGTAGGTCCTAAAACGTGGGAAAAGTCAACCCTCTTTAAACGTCAGATAGTACACATGGGCAAAAAACCTTATGAGCACAATGAAAATGGAAATAACTTCAACAAGAAGTCACATCTCACCCAGCTTCGAAGAGGTCACTCAGGAGAAAAAACCTTTGAATGTGGTGAATGTGGGAAAACATTCTGGGAGAAGTCAAACCTCACTCAACATCAAAGAACACACACAGGAGAGAAACCCTATGAATGTACCGAATGTGGGAAATCCTTTTGTCAGAAACCACACCTTACCAACCATCAGCGAACACATACAGGAGAAAAACCCTATGAATGTAAGCAATGTGGAAAAACGTTCTGTGTAAAGTCAAACCTCACAGAACATCAGAGAACACACACAGGGGAGAAACCGTACGAATGTAACACATGTGGGAAATCCTTCTGCCACAGGTCAGCCCTAACTGTCCATCAGAGAACACACACAGGAGAGAAACCCTTTATGTGTAATGAATGTGGGAAGTCCTTCTGTGTGAAGTCAAACCTCATTGTTCATCAAAGAACTCACACAGGGGAGAAACCCTATAAATGTAACGAGTGTGGGAAAACCTTCTGTGAAAAATCAGCTCTCACTAAACATCAGAGAACTCACACAGGAGAGAAGCCCTATGAGTGTGATGGATGTGGAAAAACCTTCAGTCAGAGGTCGGTACTTACAAAACACCAGAGAATTCACACAAGGGTGAAACCTCTTTCAACATCCTGATGTCCAGAAGCCTTCACCCGCCCTTTCAAATTCTTACACCATTTTTAAAAATGAGACGAATGAAGCCCAAAGAATGCCTCACATTACTAGAAAGCGATGTCTTATCGTATTTCAGATAATTAATACTAGCATAAAACCTTACTGATATTTTGAATATGTGAAAGCTCTCAAGAAAAACTGAAACTTTTCATCAGAAAATTTATATTGAGGGGAAATTTATTCACTTAAGGAATGTGGTAGAAATCTTTGTCTAGAATTTGTTGTGTCATATTCCAGATGTGATACCAAATTTTATTGTAAATATAGTGGATGGTATTCATTCAGACCCATATTCACAGTAGAATCTGAAGCTTAAAAAAAGTTGAGTCACAACAATATTAAATATTTGTGAAGAGTCCCTGATGTTTGCAGGCCTGATGTGGGTATAGTAATATAGCAGAAGTTAGAGGTATGCTTGATTTGCATATTGGAGTCCAACATACTTGTGAAAAGAAAATATCCCTTAATTAAATAGCTATTATGGTCTGTATTAGTATCTCCCACACTAAATACCACCAGTGTCTTTATAGGTTGATATAATTATATATGTATATATATGTATATGTAAATATATTTATACACATGTACCCACATGTACACAGTGGTGTGTTAGAGTAAGCTCACACTGGCTTGCAGCTGCCGATGGTTAAATTTTCGGGAATTTTGTGAGCCAGTAGTTAAACATAGTCATTATTTAAAAATTAAATTATATTAAAAAGGTAATAAATACACAGCACTCCACTTCTTAATTATTTTATAACATTTTGCTTTTTGTTCTTTAGGTTACTTATATTATCAAGTCTCATGGTAAAAATACCATCTAATGTGCCACTGCACATCTCTTCCCACCTCTGCACTCAGTGTCGTCCTTTTGGTAGCTTGGCTTTAGTGGGAGCATTTATGCCCTGGAAATTGGCAAACTCTACAAACCGGGGTTTTTATTTTCTCAGAGAACCTGTTGTCAAATAATTATCAGCACACCACTGTGTATATATGAAAATATATCTGGACAATTTAAAGTACAAACTACATACCCCCCGCTCCCATTTCCTGACATAAACAAATGGCTATGGCCAGTATTGGTGAACTGCCTCTTCAGTAAAGAACCCCAAATTTGTTTTTGTGAGGTTTCTTAACTACCTCTGCACCAGTCTTAATTGTAAATACTACCTGAGTCTCTTTATCGTTTGGCCGGTATATGTTATTTTACAACCACATCACCAACCTTCCCTCTGATGTTGCTGGCAAATAGGAATTAGTATGGCCATTGTTACTGATCTACTACTACTTCTCAAAGAAGCCAAATAATATTTTTCTGAGGTTTTTCAGCTGCCTCTGGGTCAGTCTATAATGTTGTAAGTGCTGTTAATAACAGTGGGATTTACATGAATTTTGCAAAGGTTAACACCATTTATGAACAGGAATACTCACTGCACTCCACAAATAAAAAATAGTGGTATGTACTCGAATGCTACTTTCTTACTCTTGGTATTTCATTGTTGTATCTATTTAGGCATGATCTGTTGTGTGTGCCCCAGGAACTATGTATTCATATTTAAAATAATAGGGTGTCATACACTGTCCCTGCCTCCTTTGTCCTACTGTTTTCCCACACCTCCTTGGAACACACTGATGAGCAGTTCCAAGAGACATTGCCCACCCACTACTCTGCTTCTTACTTGCTGGGCTCTGTTTTGTCTCTCTTTCCGTTCTTCCCCCAGATGATTTAGGAGTAAATCCAGATTAATCTAAGTTAATTGTGGAGATGCTATTCTAATGATTCTGTTGAGATGTTTGGAAAATATTCTGTGGTACTTCTGGGAAAGATCTTAGTGATAAACTATTGTGACATGAGAAGACACAAGGAGAGATTGTCTCTCTTATGCTGGACTTTTTCATGTATGTATGTTATACCAAATTATAGCTTGTGGCCCTGAAGGGCAATAGCTTGAAGATAACAGTAGACAAAATGGGAAAAGCCTGGCTCAGAGGGGACGTCATTGAGCTGCACAACTCCATCTGGACCTGTTCTCGGCTAGGACTTTCTGTTACTGTGGTAATAATAGTTGCTTATTTATCTTTAAGGCTATCTGTTACTTCTAGCTGAAGGCATTCCAGCTGGTACACACGAGTACTTAGTTCTAAGTATTCATGTTCTATACAGTGATTTGGGGGAAGAATGACTTCTTTTGACAAGTTAATACAAGGATAGCTTTCGTATCAGCCCTGCTTCTAATGAAAAACAGAATTCTACCCCAACCAAGAGGATTGTAATGGTAGACGTATTACAGTGGTGTGGGCCAGAAACAAGGGATACTGAAGCACCTAGTGACTAGCATCACCCAGAAGCCGTGACCATTCTGAGTCATAAAGGGGCAAAGGATGGAAAGAAACTAGCGTCACCAGAGCCCAATAAGAGCTGCTCTTACGGAGGAGAGACCCATCTCCAAGGGGATATTGTCCCCACCAGAATTGTGGCACCAAATTGCTGGTGCCTCCCTTTGGAGAACCCAGCCAGATGCAATCTGCAGGTTAGCCCAGGTGGGCACAGAGAAAGTGGAGAGAAGGTCTGGGTGGAGCCAATGGATAATAAGCAGCACGGTGTTTTTTTAATTTCTGTAAATTCCTATGTAAAGTCTTAGTATTAGAAATAAACTTATTCTACTAGTTGAAAGTTAAGTATTTCTACTTCATTGTGCTTTTGTATCGTCACAAGTAAATTCCTTTTGGAAGTGAGCACTGTGGCAGGTTATGTCTCTGTTGACATGCATGAAGCAGACATTATGTTAAATGACATTTTTCATATGTCCCTCTGTGGTGTTTCTTGTTACATGTGTTGTGAGATAAGCAGCTCTGTATTCTTCCAAATAAATAGCCAGTTGTCCCTGCATTGTTTGATTAATTTACCCTTTTCCTTGTCCACTTGCTAGGGCATTTTTAGCATGTACTTAAATATTATGTGTAGTGGCCGTTACTTTTTGTCTGCTTGAGGCAACTTTTCTACATTCTTCCCATAAGATAGCCCATCCTTGTGAACACAAGAGTTGACATTTATCCCAGATGATACCATCCCTTCCTGGACCCGCATTTGTATTGATCCAGGAATGGTCATTTGTTACAAAATAGGCTAATGAGAACTTATCCTAGACTATTTTTTCACAAGTCATCGTGACCAGATAGTTTGTGTCCTTGTTGCTGTCAGAAGTCCTATCAAGAAAATGTCTGCAAGGGGCGCCTGGGTGGCTCAGTTGGTTAGGCGACTGCCTTCGGCTCAGGTCACGATCCCAGGGTCCTGGGATCGAGCCCCGCATCGGGCTCCCTGCTCGGCGGGGAGTCTGCTTCTCCCTCTCCCACTCCCCCCGCTTGTGTTCCCTCTCTCTCTGTCTCTCTCTCTCTCTCTCTCTCTCTGTCAATTAAATAAAATCTTAAAAAAAAAAAAAAGAATGTCTGCAAGGGAGAAGATGATGGCGATAAGTGCTGTAAAATAAAATGAAAATAGGAAAAGTTGTCAGAGAGATGTCTGAGTCTACATAGCATGGAGAAGGGATGACCTCACTGGGAAGGCTACAGTGGAGGGAGTGAGCCATTTGGTTATCTGGAGAGAGAGAGAGAGAGAGAGAGTGTGTGTGTGTGTGTGTAATACATGTACATGTATAACCAACAGTTTTAGGTACCTATGGTTTTGTTTCCTGAAACAACACCCTAATTACCTGTAATATACTTTGATGTTTTATTTCGTATTGTACCACATTCTGTTAAAAGAAATGCTTATTCCCATATACTAAACTGATTTCACAGCCAGTGATTGGGTCATCTCCCAGAACTTAAAAACTAATGCTCAAGTGCAAAGTCAGAAAAGGAATGGCTGGGTCATAGGTATGGCTTTCTGAAATGACTAAGCGATTCACATTCCCAGTGCCTGGAAATTGTTTCCTGGTAAACTCTCTAGAACCTGTCTTTTGGGAATTAGGCCCATTTTCTGTGTGGAACTTGGCCTCCCCTTGCCCTGTGTGCCCTGTCACTTCACATCCAGCCTATACTTGGCGGGGAAAGGTAGAGCCATTGCTTCTGGAAAGGTTCAACCCCTGGGTATCCTAGATGCCCTCAACCACGCCGCTTGTTGCTCCCAGTAGGCACCTGCAGTTGTAGCTGCCCTTGCCTAACTCCTTCATCCCATGTGTTTCTGGGGAAGGCTTAGCCTGTTCTGATTCCCATTATTTCCACGGAATCTTCATGTACCACTGAGTGATGGGACACTACGTAATCTCCCGCCTCCTTCCTCTTCCCCACCTGCACCGCCTTTTAGACTCTGCACTTCCCCAGGCTTCTCTTTCAGACAACGAAGAACTGACTTAGACACTACTTTTTTAAGAGTAAGGTCCCCTCAGATACTTGAGGAATTGGAAGAGTGATGCTGGATATCTTGCCTGCTCTACCATGTCTGGAGTCCATAGTTTGGGATGGTTGAGCTCTCTGGTTCAGTTTCCTCATATAAAAGATGGGAATAGTTAACCCCATCTGAAAGAGCAGGCCTTAGTTTCAGCTTACTTGGAGTGACACACAGGCCAAAAATTCTCACTTGTTTCACCCCCCCACCCCAAAGAAGTTCACATCCTCAGAGGACAGCAGGGGAGTTTAGAACTACTTGAACTCCAGCCCCTAGTGAAGGCATGTCCTGCTCCTTTGGGTCTCCAACTACATACTTTAAACTAGAAAAGGAACTTGGAGAAGCATGGCAACTGTGACTAGGGCCCAGGGGCTAGTCATACTTCCTTAGCCTTCCTAGGACTGGGTGCTCCTGTGCCAGTGGTCCATACCAGGTACCCGTGTTGGGGGAAGAGGGCATAAATATTCTAAGGAAAATGTAACAGATGAATCTTCTCCCCCGCCTCTCAATAGTTGCCTCTCCTAAAATAACTGTTGGTTTTTTTTTTTTTTTGACAGAGAGATAGCGAGAGCAGGAACAGAAGCAGGGGGAGTGGGAGAGGGAGAAGCAGGCTTTCCGCAGAGCAGAGAGCCCGATGTGGGACTCGATCCCAGGACCCTGGGATCATGACCTGAGCCGAAGGCAGACGCTTAACGACTGAGCCACCCAGGCGCCCAATAACTGTTGGTTTTTAGTTCAGCATGTATCCTAGGCCTTTTTCCATGTGTTTTAATCCATA